GAGAGAGAGAGAGAGAGAGAGAGAGAGAGAGAGAGAGAAAGAGAGTGTGTGTGTGTTTGTGTGTGTGAGAAAGAGAGGTAAAGATAGATAGATAGATAGATAGATAGATAGATAGATAGATAGATAGTGAGTGAGTGAGTGAAATGCGAAATGATACATTTCCACAAAGTCATAACAAACTTTCTCAAAGTTGCTGTCTCAAAAATTGACAGTTGAAACACCCAGAAGGAGACTGAAACGCACCCACGTGCTAAGCAAAAGGACCCTTTTTGGGATGCTTTCTCGGTTTTTCTCGTGGCGTGGTGACTGGGGTAACCAACCAACACGCGACAAACGTAACCAGTCGGCGCTGAAGATTTACTCTTTAAGTACGTAGTGGACACATTATTAATCCTATGTGTCACCGCGTGGTGGAATCAGGTGCTCGTCAATCTTTGGCCATACGGAGTTGTTGGTATTACCTTAAAGCTTGTTCATTTGTCTTGGTTTCTATGAAAAAAACCCAACCCCAATCTACCACGAAGAGAAGTTAAAACATTCAAATTGAAGGAGGTGAGGGTAGTTTGGTTTCAAGGATGAAATTAACAAGAGAATGGTCGCCAAAGTTTGGTGACTTCCATTGCTTGAGAATTTTTGGAAACTGAAAATTTGCATAAATTGTGCAACGTTTCTTTTCTTTCGTTTTAAGAAAAATAATAGTAAAATCTACTCTGAAGTTTTTTTGTTTTTTTTTTAATTTAAAAAATGATCATAAAAGGTTTTAAGCTTTTAAAAATTTAACAGTAACAATTTAATAAAAATAGTATACATGTTATTGTCTGTGTCTTAAAATTGTAGATAGGGAAAACAGATTTGAAAAATCTTTATCACTATCAACAGTCTTCTTCAAAACATAAAAATTTCGTCTTCACGTGTTGTGAAATGGCCAGAATGTGCGCCGTCAATAGGTTAACAGTTTATCAAAAGTTACATTTTTTAAAAAACATGGCGAAATAATTTTATTGTTTGGATTTCATAGGACTACCCGCGGGCACCTGGTCAGCTGGCGTCCCGCCGCGCGGTCACTGCGTCATGAATGACGCGCGGCTCAGCCAATCAAAACGCAGCTCTGTTTTGGCCGTTTTACGTACAGTGTGTGTTTACTTTGGGGGGCAAACAAAAATAGTTTAATTTTACAACTTAGTTATTATGTTCAAATTACTTTGTCAATACTTACTGCCTTGAGATGGAAGGAGTGGGCAGGCAGGCAGACTAAAAGGGATGTTTGAGGGAAGGAGATAACGAGAGAGAGAGAGAGAGAGAGAGAGAGAGAGAGAGAGAGAGAGAGAGGTTCAAAGTTACGCCAGAGAGACGAAAATCAGGGGTTCGGATCCAACATTTTGATCCTTTTGGTTTTGATGGTCGGCGGGCGCTCTCTCTAACTTACCCACCAGACAGGGAGGGAGAGAAAAGCCAATATTATATGACAGTTACATATCACGGGGAGAATACACTCCGACAGCAGTTTGAAACAGGGGGTTCTGGTTCTCAATTTGGATGTAAGTGCTTGTCTGCTAGCGTATTTACTTACTTACTTACTTACTTGCTCTGTCTGTCTGTCTGTCTGTCTGTCTGTCTGTCTGTCTGTCTGTCTGTCTGTCT